GCATAGTCAATAAAGCACAAGTAAACTCTTTCTGGTATTCTTTGCCTTGAGCCAAGATCCATCTGACAACAGCTATAATATCCCTTGTTCCACGTCCTCTTCTGAATCCAGCTTGCACCTCTTGGGGTGCCTTATAGGCTTTCATTTCACTAATGATTTCCTGGGAGCACTCCCTCACCTATTTTCGTCTGTACCTCCACCCATTCTCAATATCTAGAACTTGCTCATGTGTACACCATTGTACACTTGGCTGCTAACCAGGTCAGTGCTTCAAACCCACCAGCCTCTCCATGGAAGGCAGATGGGGCAATCTACTTCCCTAAAGATTGACAGCCTCAGAAACCCAATGGGGGTTGCTATGAGTCCGAATGGACGGGGTGGCAGTGAGTTATACCATTGTAGAGTGACGCTACAGGAGTGATAAGTACAACCTTGGTTCTATTTATATTAGGGAAATATTTACACAAATATCTCAGGTTACTGAAGGGCAGATACACAGACTGGCACTACTTACATAAGCACCGCACTGCCCCAACCTCAGGACTGCTAATAACGTCAGCACACCGTGCCCAGGCCCAGTGCTAATGCGTGATGGACAGTGGCAGCGAGGGACGTCCCACTCCGCCACCGCGAGGAAGGCACAGCTGTGATACTGCAGCAGACAAAGCCAAACTCTGGGCACTTAAATAACTTGGACAGAAAGTATGAGCATTTTGCAGCATAAAACAAAAGCTTTTCAAAGAGAGCTCTTCTGGACTACATTTTTGTTTTACAGTTTGTTACGTGTTTGAGTTGAATGTGATTCTCTGGAGAGGAATTACCAGATGGCCTATGTTGTACCCCATCTGGCATCCTAGTCCTCTAAATTAAATTTTACGACCACAAATGGACACCTCAGAAAATTTCAAATATTTATATGAGGATGTTTGCTTATCCAGTATTCTTTAAATACAGTAAAACCCAGATATAGCCTGGGGGTCCAACAACAGGTAATGGCTTATATGAATCCTGGCTTATTAGTATATGGACCCAAATTCACTGCCATGGAGTCGATCTGACTCATAGCGACTCCTCCTTGGGTTTCCAAGGCAGTATCATTACAGAAGTAAATTGTCCAATCTTCCTTCCAAGGAGTGGCTGGTGGGTTTGAACCGCCAGCCTTCTGGTTAGCAGTCAAGTGCCTTAGGCACTATGCTACCAGAGCTCCTCTATATGGACAGTACCCAGCAATTTAGAGCATGACTGGAAGATTATGCAATGATAGAGCCAAAGACATTAAGCTCACAAGTGAGCTATGTATCAGGATGGACAGAAGAGTTCCAAGTATCTCCTCTCTCTCTCTCTCTCTCTCTCTCTCACACACACACACACACACACACAAGTTGTTCCTTTATTTTCCAAAATTTCAACAAATTTTTTTAAAGTATGATTTTACATAAGATTTTGCATGTAAATTGCTTAATTCAGTTTATGGCATACAGTAAATGTTTAATCAATATTAGCCACTTTATTGTTAGCTATTATTTTTATAATTAGAAAAATGTTACTTATAACAATATATCTAGAGGGTAGAGATCCCTGCCTTTCAGCTTTTTCATCTTGAAAACTCACTTCTAAAATGTATCTGCCCCTCACTGGAGAGTATTAAATACTCATCTCCCTTTAAAACGGCAGAATGAGTATATTTTAAGCACAGCAATATTCCATTTTAAAACCTTTGCTCACTGTACTTGTATATATATTTGTATATAAACATATATATATATATATATCACTTGTATATATATTCACAAAAATAACTCATAAAACCCATTGCCCTTGGTCCATTTCTACTCCCAGCAACCCTACAGGACAGTGTAGAATTGCCCCATTGCTTCCCAGCCTATAAATGTTTTTTGTCTGTTTGTTTGTTTGTTTTCCTTTCAATGTGGTGAAAACACACAAACCAAGACATTCATGAACACAGCACCTTCCACCTTTACAGCCTGGGGACACTGATGACAGTTTTCAAGTGTGCCACCACTGTTGCTGTCCTGTTCTAAACTACTCCACCACCATTAGCACAAACTCAATGCCCCACAAACCAGAGCTTCCTCTTTCCCCTCCCTCCTGCCCCACAGGCTGTAAATTGTCTCAGAAGCAAATTGCCTCATCTTTGTCCTGTGAAGTGGGTGGTGGGTTCAAACTGCTGACCTTTCCGTTAGCAGCCAAGACCTTACCCACTGTACCACCAGCCTCCTTTATAAAAATAAAAGTA